GTACTAGGACACAAAGATATTGCAAACAAATGTAAAAAGGTAGAAATAGTTAATCCATCCTTTACAGATCAAAATGCAACAAAAATAGAAATTGGTTCAGGGATCACAGACAAAAGACAGAGACTCAAAAGAAAATTTAACAATGAAATCTTAAAAAATTGGTTGGTCAAAGAACATGTCATAGAAATAATTAATAACTATGTAAAAGAAAATGATAATGATGAAACATCGTATCAAAATTTCTGGGATGCAGTTAAAGTAATCCTGAGAGGGAAATTGTAACCTTACAATTATACTATAACAAAACAGAAAAAAGAGATTAATGAACTGAAGGTGAATTTTGAAAAATTGGAGAATAAACAAACCTTTAAAAAGCATAAAAGAGGAAATGTTAAAAATTAGAAGGAAAATAGATGAATTGGAGGTAACTCCATGGAAATGATAAGTAAAACTACAAGCTGGTTCTTTGAAAAGACTAATAAAATTAATAAACCCTTAGCTAATCTGATTAAAAAGATGAAGTTAGAAAATCAAATCAATAAAATATCAAATGAGCAAGGTGAAATCACAGGAAAACCACAAGAAGTAAAAAGAATAATAAAAACATTTTACACAGTTGTACACTAACAAAGGACAGGTAGGTGGTGCAGTGGATAGAGCACTGTGCTTGGAATTGGGAAGATTCATCCTGATAAGTTCAAATCCAGCCTCTAAAATTTACTGTGACCCTGGGCAAGTCACTTAACCTTTTTGACCTCATTTCTTCATTTGTAAAATGAGCTGGAGAAGGAAAAGGCAAACCATGCCAGTATCTTTGCCAAGAAAACCCCAAATGGGGTTACAAAGAGTTGAACATGACTGAAATGAGTAAACAACAAAAACAAAATGCTAATGAAACTGGAAATACAAAAGAAATAGAGGAATACTTTCAAAAATATTAAGTACCCAAACTACCAGAAGACCAGTTAGAGATCTTAAATAACCCAGTCTCAAAAAAGGATATAGACCTAGCTGTAAAGGAACTACCAAAGCAGAGCTGGAGAGAAACCTCCTGGACTGATGGATTCATAGAACAATTTTATCAAACTTTTAAAAAACAATTAGTACCTGTTCTTCACTAATTATTCTCTGAAATTGAGAAAGAAAACACCCAACCAGAATCCTTTTATGAGACAAATATAATCCTAATACCTAACACTAGGGAAAGATAAAACAAGGGAAAAAAGCTATATGCCAATATCATTAATGAACATTGATTAAAAAATGTTAAACAAAATCCTAACAGATTACAGTGATTTATCTAAGAAATCACTCATTATGATCAAGTGGGATTTATACCAGGAATTCAAGGATGCTTTCAATATTAGAAAAACAACCAACATAGTCATATTAAAAACCAAAACATCCCAAACTACATGATCATCTTAATAGATGCAGAGAAAGCTTCTGACAAAGCATAACACTCTTTTATGCTAAAACCCTACAAAATATAGGCAAAAGGGACCTTTCTTTTAAAAATCATAAAAAATTATCTATCTGAAAATAAAAGCAGGCACCATATGCAATAGGCTAGAATCTTTTCTAATAAATACAGGAGTGAAGTAAGGATGCCTAATTTCCCCACTATCATTTTATATAGTTCTGGAAATGCTAGCAATAGCAATAAAATAAGAAAAAGGAATTAAAGGAATAATGATAATTAAAGAGGAAATAAAATTATCCCTATTTGCTAACAATATGCTAGTTTATTTGGAAAACCTCAGGGAATAGGCAAAGATGGTAACTGAGACAAGTAATAGCTTCAGCCTAGTAGCAGGCTACGAAAAAGGTCCTCAAAAATCAACATTTCTATATAATAATAACAGAACACAAGAAGGAATAGTGGAAAAACAAATCTCATTCCAAATAACTATAAAATGCATAAAATATCTGGAGATCAACCTCCCACAGCACAAAAAAGACTTATATAGAGTCAAAGATTTCATGGATTACATATAGATTTCATGGATTACAAAGTACTCTTTAAAGAAATAAAGAATGACCTAAATAGCTGGAGGAATATTCAATACTCATGGACAAGCTGTGTCAAAATAATAAAAAGGACAATATTGCCAAAACTAATTGACACTTACGTTATACAAATCAAATTATCAAGGGGATAATTTATAGAATTTGATAAAATAATAACAATTTATTTGGGAAAAAAACAGACGATCTAGAATATTAAGAAAAATGATAAAAAAGGAAGGAGGTAGGATAGCACTTCTAGGCCTCAAACTATTATTACAGCAGTCATTAAAACCACCTGGTATCTGTTATAGAGAAATAGATCAATGGAACAACTATACAATAGAGAATCAGAAATAATGGAACTCAGTTACCAAGTCTTTGATGAAATAGAAAGTATAAATTACTTAGGGGGAAAAAAAACTCCCCATCTGATAAAAATGGCTGGGAAAACTGGAAAGTAGTCTGGCAGAAATTAAGCTTAGGTCAACACCTTACACCACATACCACAATACATTCTAAATAGTTACATAAACTTAATATTAAAGATCACAGCATAAATTTTACAGGTCCTCAAGAGCAACCCTTTAACTGAATCCAAACTTCACAGAGCAAATCCTTTTATTAAGGGGATCTGTTCTGTGAAGTTTGGATTCAGTCAAAGGGCCGCAGTTGAGGACCTACAGGGCCACATGTGGCCTCGAGGCCATAGCTTCCCACCCCTGGAGGGAAAACAGATCATATACTTCTCACAGCTATGGGTTGGAGATGTATTCTTAATCAAATAAGAAATAGAGACAATTACAAAAGATAAAATAGATCATAGAAAATTGATTACTTGAAATGGAAAAGTCTGCACAGACAGCATTAATGAATCTAGAATAAGAGGGAAAGTGATTAAATGCAATAAAAATCTTTGAATCAAATTTCTCTGATAAAGGTTTGGTATCCTATATATGTATATATATATATATATATATATATAAACATGTACATATGTATGCATTTATATGTGTATATATACACATATATACATCTATACACATATATGTGTATGTATATATGTGTGTATCTTATAGACATTCCCCAATGGATAGTCAAAAGATATAAAAAAATAGTTCTTAAAAGAACTGTAAAGTACTCACAGTCATATGAAAAAAATGCTTTAAATCACTAATAATAAAAAAAATCCAAATCAAAACAATCGGAAAGTTTCACCTCATTCCTTGCAAATTGACAAAAATGACCAAAAAATGGCAACAGTCTAAAGGGGTTATAGCAAGACAGACACAATAATATATAGTTGGTGGAGCTATGAACAACCATTTGGAAAATAATTTGGAATTGTGCAAATAAAGTGACTGAAATGTCTTTACCCCTTGGACACTGTGCTTATACCCTAACGAAGCCATTGATAAGAAAAAAAGTCCCCATATACACCAAAATATTTATAGCAGCGCTGTTTGTTATAGCTAAGAATTAGAAACGAAGTAGATGCCTATCAATTGGGGAATGGCTAAAAAAAATTGTGGCACATGAATGAAATCATACACTACTGTGTTCTAAGAAATGAGGTGTGTGCTGAATACAGAAGATGGAAAGATCTATATGAACTGACCCAGAGCGAAGTAAGCAGAGCCAAGAAAACCATATACACAATAACTACAAAAATGTAAATAGAAAGAACAATGCAACAAAAAAATAAAAATAAATGCAACAAAATGATAAAGACCAAGTGAGACTTGAATGAAGAAATATGAGAAAACACCCTTAACCTACCTCTTTGTGGATGTAGGTAGTCCACAGTTATTACACATTACACATGTTTTTACATTTTTTCAATGCATAAATCAATGTACTGACTTTTTTTTTCCTCCCTAAAAAATGTTATCTGTCATATTGGATGGCTCTCAGGGAAGGAGAGGGAGAGGGATACATGGGATACTATGGTGATGTAAAAAACAGAAAAATATCAATAAAAACATATTTTAAAAGAAAAAAAAAGAAAACCACAGGTTCAGTGTCTTCTTAATGATGACATATTTTGTTGAGTCATGCTAAGGGAATAGCTCCTAAGTATAATGGGTGGAAAATGAAGAGCAGCAGATTTAGGCTGATAAGAAGAGCTTCCTAGGAATTAGAGCTGTCCAAAAGAAAATGGAATAGGATGCTTCTAGAACTAATGAGTTCCCCATTAAGTGGAAGCTGAATGACTATTTTCATGAATTTTGTAGGAGTTTTTGCTTGAGGCACTCATTGGATCAGACACTTTCCGAGATTATGTGAACAACAACAACAACAAACTTTCCAATGAGAAATACCCAGGGTAGGGGCAGGTAGATGTTGCCGGCCCTGAAGTCAGGAGGACCTCAGTTCAAATCCAGCCTCAGACTAAACACTTGACACTTAACTAGCTGTGTGACCCTGGGCAAATCATTTAACCCCAATTGCCTAAAAAAAAAAAAAAATAGAAATACCCAGGGTCTATTCAGCCCATGATCTTATATTATTATATATTCAGATCTATGATCCTATAGAGGGATCATGGGACAAAGTATAAGAGTATCACCTTTGTGACAGGGAACAAATAGAAAAGTCAAGGATGTGCCCCAGATATTTTTAAGCAGAAAAAGCACTGAATTGAAAAGTCAAAAGATTTTATTTTGATTCTTAATTCCTCCATCTATGGCTATCTATACAACCATATGCAGTCCCTTAACTATCTATCTTCAGTTTCCTCATTTGTAAAATGAAGGTGAATAATTGCTGTTTGGTTTATTTCATAGCATTTTTGTGAAAATCAAATGAAACTATAGATGTCAAAGTATATTTTGAAAGGGTTTTCTAAATTGTAAAGCACTTTATGCGTGTTGTGAGGCAGGGAGTGAGAAAAGCTCCTCTGTGGAAACTTATTTTACTGATATGGATCAAAACTGTCTATAATCTGTAGTCTCATAGGCTTGACTGCAACACAGGCATCTTAAGTGACTTACCTAAGGTCACACAGCCATCATCTGTCGGAGGCAAGATTTGATTCTTAGCAGGTCTTCCTTACTCCAAGGTCAGTCCTCTATCCACTTCAACACACTGCTTCTCATGCCTTGAAATGATAACAATTACTTTCTCATTTTCTTTCAGTAACCCACTATGAATTTATCAGTAACATACAGGAATTTATCCCAAGATTGTTTGACCCTATTGATATTTTCAGTCTATATCACCTCAGGGGGCTATATAAAATAGATCTTTTTTTTAGTTCTCCTAAACTTGACATTTTTTCAAACTTAAGGGGAATGCCCTAATTCCAGGGCTCTGGTATTTGGTGGACATACCCTTGAATTCCTATATTCCCACTTTCTCCACCTACAACCTTGACCTTCCCTGACAAATGAATTCCAACTATGGGCTCATTGTGTGTCAATGAGGCTAAGGTCATAGGTAAAAACCTTCATGTGTGTGTGTGAGTGAGAGAGAGCCGATGGATCTATCAAACTGATCCCCATTACTGATCCGGAAGGTAGCTCTAAACCCAGTGAAAAAGAATTGCCATTTTATCAAGTCAACGTATGAGTATTACTTTGGGGAATAGCCTTTTTCAACTCGGTTAGGAAAGTTGCCAACCTTAATGGGCCACCACAAATAATAAATAGAGCAGAATTGCTTTATTTAATCTATTACTGGTTACCCACTCTCTAGACCTCTTCATTGGTCAACAAAGCTGAACACTGGGATTGACAACTGCAGACTCCTTCAATGCTCCAGGAAATGCCTAGAGCCAAGACGGATTGGGCAGGGACAGTCTTGGACTCCCCTGAGCTTTTGGTCAGCTAGAATTAAGATCACAGGATTTAAAACTGGAAGGGACTTATCATCTCTTCCAACCCCTCCATTTTACAGAGGAAATAACTGAAGCCTAGAAAGGTTAAGAGATTTTCACAAGACTACGCAGATAGTAAAGAGTAGAGCTAGGCTTATTAACCTCTAATTCCAAATCCAAGGTTATTTCCACTGCAGCACTCAGGCAGGGAACTTACCAATAGAATGTCCCCAGATGCTAAGCTGAGCTCAGACCATTTACTAAGAACAGAGGATTAGAGACTCATAAAATATTAGAACATAAAAAATACAAAGGTGTGCTGGAACCAGCTCATACTGGCTCATAAGTCAATTGTTAAATTTTCAATGTGAGCATTTATACCTCTGAAATAAGCAAACATGATTTGTTAATTGTCTAGAATGATCTAAGAAAATGATGGAGAAAATGTTAATAATGAAGACTAAATTTAAAAATGTGCTGTGCTGGGGCAGCTAGGTGGTGCAGTGGATACAGCCCAGCCATGCAGTCAGGAAGACCCGAGTTCAAATCCAGCTTCAGACACTTGACACTTACTAGACCCTGGGGAAGTCACTAAACCCTGATTGCCTTGGGAAAAAAAATGTGTCGTGCTTTTTCAGACAGCTGATTGATAAACATTTACTAGCTTATCTATGTGTGTGTGTATGCACACACACACACATACATATATATGTAAACACATAAATATATATGGATCTTTATCTTTTCATATGCATGTATATATGTATGTGTGTATATACACACACCCATATATGAATATGTACATACACAGGGACCTTTTTCTCTTCAGAGCTTTTGTAGCATTTTGTTTGCATTTTTCTAACACACTTATCATAAAATACTATGCATTGCAACTATCTTAATTATCTGTGATTGAGAGCTTGAATTGTTTTTATTTTTTTTGTCTTCACGTGCCCAGTAACCAGCACAGGGTCTGTCTCAAAACAGACAATGTTGATTGATTAGTTAATCAGTTGGTGCAATTAACCATAGGCAGAATGAACAGTCAACTCTGTGGCATGGAGCTCTAGGATGGAACTCTACTCATTGGATTCCATTTCCCTTCCCTGTGCCTTTGTTCACCATGAGCCAAAGACACTTCCTCCTCACTTCTGCCTCTTCCTGTGCCTTGTTTCATTCCAAGCTCACCTCAAGTACCACTTCCTATAAGAAGGTGGTCTTGATCCCCACTGGTAGCTGAGTTAAGTGATCTTTCCTTGCAATTACTTTGTATTTACTGTGTACTTTCTACTTATTTATGCACCTTCATGTTGTTTCCCTCCAGTAGGACATAAACTTCTTGAAGACAAAGACTGTTTAATTATTAGTTTTGTATCTCTGTACCTAGCACAATGCTTGGTATACTGGATTGTAGAATCATAAATTTAAAGTAAAAAGGGAACCTAGAAGTCACCACGTCCAATCCCCTCCTTATTTTATAAATGGGGAAAATGGCACCCAGAGAAGTTAAGTGATTTCCCATAGAAGTACTTAACTGCTTGTGGAATGAACACTGTCAAATTAATGGTGACTGAAATTCTTTCATTTGATCTGAGAATAGTTCTTTTAGGTTACCATTAACTTTAATATAAGTTGTATTATAAAGTGCTTTTGAGGGGCCTTTCTGAAAAGGTTTATTGAAAGAAGGAATGGACAAGAAAAGGGAGAAATTTAGGTATTCAGGTGTTAGCTCCTTTGGTTTATTTTATTTTATTTTTTAAATTAAATTTTGTTTTTTTTCAAAGTTCTGTTTTCTTCTCTCCCCACCCTGTCCCAGGAAAAAGAAAATCTTTTGTTATAAAAATGTATAGTCAAGCAAAACAAAATCTCCAATTGGCCATGTCAAAAAAAAAAAGTCTTAATCTGCCATCTGGAACTCAGAGGACACCTTTCTATCAGGAGATCTATACCATGTTTCATCACGATTTCTCTAGAATTGTGATTAGTCATTCCAGACTTTCAAAGTTGATTATCTTTGCAATATTATTGTTATTGTGTGTATTGTTCTCCTGGTTTTGCTCACTTCACTCTCTGTCATTGTTATAAGACTTCTCAGGTTTCTCTGAAACTATCCCCTTCATCCTTTCTTAAAGAATCGATACCATTCCATCACATTCATATACCATATCTTGTGCAGCCATTCCCCAATCAGTGGGTATCCCACCCCTCATTTCCAGTTTTTTTTGCAACAGAAAAAAAGAGCTGCTATAAATACATGTGGATCCTTTCCCTCTTTCTTTGATCTCTTTGGGGTATAGATCTAATATTGGTATCACTGGATTTTCAAAGGGTATGCATGGTTTAATTAACTCCTTTAGTTTTGGTTAAGGGTAGACCTGGTGCTGAGACATTCACCCTAAAACAGAGACCTGTAAACATTTGGGGGAATGAAAGGACCTGAATTTTTATTCCATTCCCACCATTTGATCTCTATATGTCTTTGAGTCACCCAACTCACCTCTCGAGACCTGTTTCCTCTTTTGAAAAAATGAGTTGGTTGTACTAGATGATCTTTGTGGTCCTTTCCAGCTCCAGCATTCTCATGGTTTAAGAGCTCTACCATATCTATACTTTGCATTTCACATTCAAAGGTCACTTTCATATCTGGAGTTCTATATTCTTTCAGCCTCAATAATCTGAATATTCAGATATTTTTCAGTATTTGAGAATAAAGCTTCTAATTTCTCTAGAATAGGATCCCAGATAAATATCCAACCTTCCCCGGCTTCCAGAGCCTCAAGGCATTTGTACTGAAGAGGCCAAGGGGAAAGGATGGAAGGGGTGAGATAGGGGTGGGTGGGTGTCCTTATATTACGGCTGATGAAAAGACTTTCCTTTGCTACATTTTTATTTTGTTTGAAAAACACACAAAGTAAGAGGGGAAATAATTTCTGTTCCCTGTGGGAGGAACCTAGAGGTCTGGGCCTCCCCTGCTGCTTCCTCTAGCTCACAGCTAAGGTCATTCTTGGCCTTCAAAGTCTTTGATTCTAGGATTCCTTTCTTTGGTGGGAAAGGTGGGATCAAATTCATCTTTTAATGTCTATTTTTGGAAAGCTCTCATAGGAGGCCAAAAAAGATCCATTGGTTGGTAGCCGCTGCTGTTATTAATCTTTATAAAAGCAAAAATAATAAGTTTAATAAGCATTTCCACAGGGTGTTATCTCTGCCCAGTGCTTGCTTAGTTATCTGCTGTGTTAGTCAGTCATTTATGATAGAAGTCAGTTAGTCACCAGCTGGATCAGCACTTCTCCCCATCACACCTGGTGCTGGGCCTTCCAATTCACACACCTCACTCAGTGGTCATGAGCCTGGAGGCAGGAGAGCTGGTCTTAGCTACACTCCCTGCCTTCAGCTCTAAAATGAACCTCAATTGGTTGATTGCTCTGGGCCCTGGAAGGAGTCCCATCACTTCATCCATGCTCAGGCTTGCCAAGGTGATTATCTTTTACCCTAAACCTGCTTCTTGATCTGACTTTACACTTTCTGTCAGTGGTGTTTCCTTTGATTTCTGATTCAGGCCCCTATTTGATTAAATTTAAAAAGCATTCATTAAGCATCTCCCGTGGGCAAGGTACCTGGAAGGCAGAGATTTGTTATTATTTTTTAAATACATAGTCCCTGTCTTCAAGTGGCTTATATTCTACATGTGAAGGCTATGGCATGTGGATCAAAAACTATAATACAAGGTAGGGACAAGATGGAGGTAAAGGGAAGATTCAGGCAAAATGCCCTAGAAAAATTGAAGGAAGGAGAAACACTTTCAGGTGCAAAAGGAGTGGCCTCTGAGCTGTGTCTTGAAGAAAGGGAGGGATCCAGAAAGATAAAGATGGAAAAGAGAATGCATTCCGGGTATGGGAGAAGGCAGAGTATGAATATAGATAGGTTCCCCCAGAAAATTCTATGTTTTCTACATGAAGACATATAAAATCAAACCAAAACATGCCAGAGTTCTGCAGGAACACAAGCTTGGGTCTAGAATTTGTCCAAGACACCCAAATATCCAACTCCTAGAGATGTTCACAGCTCTATAGTGAGGCAGTTCCTTGGATAGAGTGCTGGGCTTGAAATTGGAAAGATCTGGGGGTCAAATCCCCTAGATACCTACTAATTGTGAGACCTTGGAACTAATTTCTTTGCTTCAGTTTCCCCATCTGTAAAATGGGAAAGCATTGGACTTGATGTCCTCTAAGATCTCTCCCAGCCCTAAATATATGATTTTTTGATACTATGCTATCAGGAGAGCCTTTG